GTATTTCTGCAGTGTCAGTTGTTATTTCTCCTTTTTGATTTCTAATTCTATTGATTTGAGTCTTCTCCCTTTTTTTCTTGATGAGTCTGACTAATGGTTTTTCAATTTTGTTTATCTTCTCAAAGAACCAGTTTTTAGTTTTATTGATCTTTGCTATAGTGTCCTTCATTTCTTTTTCATTTATTTCTGATCTGATCTTTATGATTTCTCTCTGGCTCTCCTTCTTTGGCTTTCTTGTATTCCACCCTCTTCGATCTTTTGGCTTCATCTTCAACGTCATTAGCAAGATGGCTACAGCACTTCCAGAGGAAAAAGGTCCAGATGAAGGTGGAGACCACCTTTTCCTTGTGTCTCTTTTTTTTCTTTTTTTTTTAATAGCTGTCCTAGTGGGTGTGAAGTGGTAACTCATTGTGATTTTGATTTGCATTTCCCTAATGACTGATGATGTTGAACATCTTTTCATGTGATTGCTGGCACCATTTATATATCTTTTCTGAGAAATGTCTATTCAAGTCCTTTGCTCATTTTTTCAATTTTTTTTTAAAGTAAATTTATTTATTTATGGCTGTGTTGGGTCTTCGTTGACGCCCACGGGCTTTCTCTAGTTGCAGAGAGCGAGGGCTACTCTTCACTGCAGTGCATGGGCTTCTCATTGCAGTGGCTTCTCTTGTTGCGGAGCACGGGCTCTAGGCGCACAGGCTCAGTAGTTGTGGCACACGGGCTTACTTGCTTCGCGGCATGTGGGATCTTCCCGGACCAGGGATCGAACCCGTGTCCCCGGCACTGGCAGGCAGATTCTTAACCACTGTGCCACCAGGGAAGTCCCTAAATTTATTTTTTATTGAAGTATAGTTGAATTACATTGTTGTGTTAATGACAGCAAAGTGACTCAGTTATACATATATATACATTTTTTTCATATTCTTTTTCATTATGGTGTATCACAGGATATTGATCTTCCTTATGCTATACAGTAAGGTCCTTTGCCCATTATTTTTTAATTTTTAAAAAAATTTTGGCCACACTGTGCGGCTTGCAGGATCTTCGTTCCCTGACCAGGGATCGACCCCAGGCCCCTGCAGTGAAAGCGAGGAGTGTTAATGACTGGACTGCCAGGGAATTCCTTCCTTGTGTCTCTTTTTAAAAGTGAGAAAAATCTTTGCAAAAGCCACCCCCCCACCGCAAAAAAATACATTTTCTTTTATTTCTCATGCACTTTCCCAAACCAATCATTAACGAGATGAATGAGGTTCCCATTATTACTTAAGGGGTTAAATGGAGACTAGGATGTCATCACCATGATGATCACCACAGTTCTGTTGATCTCTTTGTTTTTCAGAGCTAATGCCTTTTTTATCCCTTTACTATGATTTTAATATTTTGAGACAGAGGAGATAAATGTGTTCAATCCACCTGCCCCATTTAACAGTAAATTCTTCAGCCACTTTCTTGCACATACCTGTACTACTAGCTCACTTTCTTTTATTTTTCTCTCTTTCTTTTTTACTTTTTGTTATGAAAATTTCCCCATGTACAGAAAAATAGAATAGTATAATGAATACCTGCATACTTAGTTTTAACAGTTTTAATATTTTGCCACTGTGTTGACTTCATCTACATTCTTTTTCGTTTTTTATAAATTTATTTTATTTGTTTATTTTTGGCTGCATTGGGTTTTCGTTGCTGCACACATGCTCTCTCTAGTTGCGGCGAGTGGGGGCTACTCTTTGTTGCGGTGCGCGGGCTTCTCATTGTGGTGGCTTCTCTTGTTGCAGAGCACGGGCTCTAGGCACATGGGCTTCAGTAGTTGTGGCACGCGGGCTCTAGAGCACAGGCTCAGTAGTTGTGGCGCACGGGCTTAGTTGCTCCGCGGCATGTGGGATCTTCCTGGACCAGGGCCCGAACCCGTGTCCCCTGCATTGGCAGGTGGATTCTTAACCATTGTGCCACCAGGGAAGCCCCATCTACATTTTTTGATCTGTTTTGAAGTAAATTGCAGATGTCTTGGCACTTCACCCTAAATTTCGAAATGCATCTTTAGAAAGTAAAGATCTTTTCCTTTATAACTATGGTACTAGTATCACACAACAAAATCCGGCTTTTATCTCCCGCAGGATAGGGAGGTCCTAATATGGTGGGGAAAGCTTCAAAAAGAGTCTACCAGAAAGTATGGGAACAACTTAAATGTCCATCAATAGAGTAGTTAAATAAGTTACAATATGTCCATACTATGGAATACTATACTGGGGAGTATTAAAATGATGATAGATTTCTATACATGGAAAGATTTCTGCAACATCACTAAGTTAAAAAAAAAAAGCATAATAGTATGTACAATGTGATCCAGTTCTACGCTACTAAGTGTAAAATAGATAGCTGGTGGGAAGCAGCCGCATAGCACAGGGAGATCAGCTCGGTGCTTTGTGACCACCTAGAGGGGTGGGATAGGGAGGGTGGGAGGGAGGGAGATGCAAGAGGGAGGAGATATGGGGATATATGTATATGTATAGCTGATTCACTTTGTTATAAACAGAAACTAACACACCATTGTAAAGCAATTATACTCCAATAAAGATGTTTAAAAAAAAATGCATGTGCCTGTTCGCACAGTAAAGAGGTCTGGAAGGATATAAATCAAAATGGAAGTAACACTTGATCTTGAGTGGCAGGTTTACGAATGCTGTTTTCTTTCTTTATATGTATTGATGTTATCAAAATTGGTTTACCGTTTGGGTCTTCAGCTGTAAACAGGCAACAGTGCTGTTGCCCCTTCTGACACAGGAGAGTAGGGAATGCACCTGGGAGTTGTGTTTTCTGGACTGTAGACTTTTAACATGTAGAATGAATGGCATCTTTGTTTTCATAAGGGTGGGAAGGTGACAGTCAATAATAAATTATCATACCAACAGAGTTGTTATAATTACACGGGAAAACTGCCTGTGGCCTTGTTTGTGGGGTTTTATGGGGTTTTTTTTATTTGTAGCATTGTATGCATACATGAAGTTTACTATTTTAATTTCTGAGTGTACAGTTTAGTGGCATTAAGTACATTCACGTTGTGGTGCAACCATCACCACCAGCCGTCTCCAGAACTTTTTCATCATCCAGTACTGGAGCTCTGTACCATTAAATACTAACGCCCTGTTCCCAGCACCTGGTGACCACTGTTCTACTTTTTGTCCCTGTGAATTTGACTACTCTAGGTATCTCATACAAGCGGTGTCATACAGTAATTGTCCTTTGTGACGGGCTTAGTTCACTTAGCATCATGCCCCCAAGGTTTATCCATGTTGTAGCAGGTGTCAGAATTTCCTTTCTTTTCTTTGTTTTTTTTAAAGGAACATTTATTTATTTACTTATTTTTGGCTGTGTTGGGTCTTTGTTCCTGTGCGCGGGCTTTCTCTAGTTGCAGCAAGCGGGGGCTACTCTTCATTGCGGTGCGTGGGCTTCTCATTGCAGTGGCTTCTCTTGTTGTGGAGCACGGGCTCTAGGCGCACGGGCTTCAGTAGTTGTGGCTCACGGGCTCTAGAGTACAGGCTCAGTAATTGTGGCGCATGGGCCTAGTTGCTCTGTGGCATGTGGGATCTTGCTGGACCAGGGATTGAACCCTTGTCCCCTGCATTGGCAGGCAGATTCTTAACCACTGCACCACCAGGGAAGTCCAGAATTTCCTTTCTTTTTAAGACTTAATATTCCATTGTGTGGATATATGGTATGATAACAATTTCATAAAGCCATAGTTTAGTATCTGTTTGTAGAGCTGTCTTGTTTATCCGTTCATCTGTTGATGGACATTTGGGTTGTTTCTACCTTTGTGGCTTTGTTTTTACATGACTGTGCTTTGGGGATCTGGTTTGAACTCAGGAATTTGACACCTAGAAAGATTTCAAAACAACAAAGAATCCAGGGTGAAAATGAGGGAGAAGGGAGATGCGTGAGTAAAAGCTGCTTCGTGTTACTTGAAGGGGCAGCTTTCAAAGCAGAACACAGAAAACCTTTTTATTTATTTATTTATTATTATTTTTTTAAGATCCTGATTTTTTTTTCTCCAAATCATCTTTTTCACCCAATCTTTCTCCCTGGTCAATCACCTCATGAAAGTGGAGAGCAGTAAAAACAACTAACAACTAGCTTTGACCGTTCTTCTAACCCTTCGCCTGAGGTGCATGTTTCGTTTTGCTCTTTACTGCTCAGGAATCATTAGTGCCACCTCTTACTGTGACTGATGCTGCTTTTCTATAAGCTTAGCCATAATTGAGATGAGATCTGTTGGATTGTTTATACGCATAGAATTCATTCATTCCTTCACTGAGAAACATATTTCTTCAACGCCTACTGTTGAGTCAGTCATGCCAGCCTGTGGGTCTAGAGGCTTGTCAAAAATTAAACAGAAACAATCATCCTCAGAAGACACAATTAAACTACATGTGGTTTGATATATTAAGAAACAGGCTTGGCTGTGGGGAAAGGAACTTGTGGCCCCATGGCTGGGACAAAACATTTTTTCATGCCGGTATGGTAACAATTTCATAAAGCCATAGTTTAGTAGCTGTGTGTGTAGGGCTGTCTTTTGTCATCACTGATATTTTGTTGATTGATTTGAACTTATTTATCTGGTTGATCTTCCCATCAGGTCCACTTTCAAAGAGAAGCAACTGCAGGGCAAGTACAAATTACTTACGTGCAAATGAATGAATAGTTGTAAGTGAATTCTAGAAGATTAGTTTTAAGTTAAATTAACTCTCTGTCACATTGGCTTCTAGTTTTGTATTTTCTATCCCTCTTACACTGTTGGAGTTGTCCCTGATGCCCAAATTCAAGCAGGGCAGAGCCTCAGCTCCAACCTGTAGAGAGCTGGTCGCTGCTCACCCTCTCAGCCTGAATTTTCCCCTTGTGCAGATTTGCCATTGATCCGCCTTCCTTAATGTATCTGGAAGGTTGACTGGGTGGATCTCGTTCCCTCGGGAAAGTTGATTCTGTTTGCTCTCTCTTGCCCTTAGACCATCATCTGCAAATAGCATAAGCAGCAGTACATCTTCAAACCACAGTGGCTACACTCCGGAACCTCCTCTACCCCCAGTTGGAGGTGACCTCGCCAGCCGACTGTCAAGTGATGAAGGGGAGATGGACGGAGCCGACGAATCCGAGAAGTTATTAGACTGTCATTTCTCCACTCACCACCCCAGACCTCTTGCGGTAGGCCTCCTTCTGTTTCCATCCAGGCCTTGTTTCCCCCTGTGCTTTGCAGTATTTAGGTGACTGTGTCCTACAGTGGCATCCTTCCTAAGGAGAGGCCTCCGGGACAGTGTTTTACGAAAGGGCTTCCCCTGAGGTTGAATGATTACCTTAGAAATCCCCTTGAAAATCACAGAAGGAAAGGTAAGGGCTCCCAGCTGATTTTAATCCTTTAAACACCTGAGTATTTGTGGTCCACCTTGAAGCGTTAATGCTTGAGAAACGGTGTTTATAGAAGAGCACGGGGAACTGACCTTCCTGCCTTTCCCATCCACGCGGAGCCTCTGATTTCAAGAGTTAGTCTAATTCACCTGCCTTGAAAACTGTCTCTGAGCAGTGTGCCAGGTGCCAGTCCTGGCTGGTTTGCTCCCCTGTTGGCTCTGAGTTTTATTGTTATTAGTAGGTGTGACGATATGGCACCAGAACTGAGTGTGTGTGTGTGTGTGTGTGTATGTGTGCAGGAAAGAAGGAAGCATTTCATGTCCGCGTGATTGTTGATTAACGAAAAGGTCAGTTTCTTCCCAGTTCCTTGAAAGAATCCACTTTAACAATTCAGAAGGTCATTGAAATCGAGGTGGGTGGTATAAGGAGGCATGAGCTGGAGGCTTGTTTGTGTTTGCCCTACGAGCACTTAAGAAGGGACTGCCTGGTGCTTCCATCACAGAGCCGAATTCAGGGAGGCTGGGAACGTCGGACCCCACAGCCGGTTTGCTCTGTTCCCAGCTTGAGCCCTGCAAGATTAGCTTTGACTGTCCCAAGATGGCATGAACTGTGTAGGTGAAATCAACCGTGCATCACGATAGAGTGAGTCCCTCCTCCCTTCTATTAGCGTGATGAATGAAGGCCAAATTCACTTCCTGTTTCTGGGGAGGATGGTGACCTGTACTTCATCAACAGCCTGAGACTTTGCCTCTTGGCTAGTACAAAAATAGGGACAGTCAGGAATGCTTCTGACGGCCAGTAATAGAAAACGACTCATACGGTGTGTGCACTTCGGTCATTTACTTGTCTCATGTAACAAGGAGTCTAGAGGTGAGAGCTCCCAGGCTTGGTTCAGCATCTCCTCAATGTCCTGCTGCTGAGGGAGAATCTCTGCAACCCTCTTTGCCTTTCATGCACAGTCTGGATGTGTCAGTTCGAGTTCCAATATCACATCCTCACCCAGTAGCACTCTACAAAGTGGGGAAAGGGACAAACAGAAAGGGAGTCTGCTTCTAAGATGCTATCTTATGTCGTTTCTTAGGGAAGAAAAATCTTCCCATAAGCACCCCCAGCAGACCTTCTCTTCCATCAGCCAGAAGTAGGTCATGTGCCCAGCCCTATACCAATCAGTGACAGAGAAGGATAGGATTGTAGTAACACAGAATGAAACCTGCCATGATCTCATCCCAGGGTTCTGGGAAGAGATCTACTTTCGCTGCTCACTGCTCCGTGTCAGAGATCAGAACAAAAGTGTGGTTCTGTTAGCAAGGAAAAGGCAGGGAGAGCTGGGGGTGGGGTAGCAGTTGATGAACTTGGCAACCAGTAGGGTCTGCCACAGTGGCCAGTGCAGCGAGGATCTGCAGCCCTACCTGGGGCATCATAGGCGACCAAGGACAGGAGCCTCTGGGGCACTGAGCGTTGCATCTGTGTTGAATTAGAGACATAGGTAGCACAGACAGTAAGAGGCCTCCAGCTTCCAAGGCTGAAAGGGAGACAGGGCTGTCTACCAGAAGGCCAGACTCTGGAGCACATCAAGATCTTTGTCCAAATGACAAGCTGCCAGGCTACAGTGGATTAGCTCAACTCAGAGCCTGGCAGATTTGTGTGCCCTTCATGTTTTGCTGATTTAAATGGAAAGGCCATGGATTCGTTTCTTTGCTTTGTCCTTTCTCTCATGGCCAACTGATACATTAAATCAATTTTGGTAATGAACACTTGTTCAGGGTGTCTTTAGCAAGGAGATGAAAGAAGAAAAGATGTCTGGACCTGGACCGGCTCCCACATGCTACTGGGGACCGGCTTCCACGTGGGAGAACTCCCTTTGTATGTTTTAATACTTGGCCAGTAAGCCCTTAATGTGCGGAAAAGAATTTTTCATCAGGAGTACCAGATTTGATGGGAGGCAAGATTTTAGGGTAACCCCACCCCAAACATAAGCAGAAACAAAACAAAGGGAAGGTCTTGCGTTTCCTCCTAAGAACTGTTCCAAAGGCTGGTTCCAGGAAAGATTTGTGGAATGAGTGCCAACCCAGCACTGTGTCTGGGATGGAGGCCAGGGAGCTGCTGGGAGAGGCCTGGGGGAGGGGGAAAAGCGCAGTTGAGTTATAGAGTCATATTTGCAGACTTGCTTGAGCTCTGACCAGGCAAATGTCACCTCCTCAGAAGCTGCTTCTTACATTTCTGTCTGCTGGCCTGGTTGTCCTAACATCATCATTAAATGACGTTTATCAAACATCTAACTGCTCATATTTCAGCCCCGTGTTTTAAGTGTGATAGTTCGTTCTGAACACTTTGTAGGACCTTATCTCTGTAATCCATCCTTTAGCCTAAATCTCTACTCTCCTCATATTGAGGAGGAAGAAGAGAATGGGGTCCCTGACCTTTATACGTTTATAATCATCAAGACAGGCACAGAAGCATGCAATATAATGTAATACAGCCACCTAGCGATTCCCAGGTGGGAAAGTAATGAAGTATGTGTAGGTGTCTGTGGGAGTTCAGAGCGGCAGCGTGAGTCAGATAAAGGTCGCTGGAAAGGAGAGTCTTAATTAGGGCCCTGAGGGAGGGGAGAATTGCACTTGGCCGAGAGAAGAGGGAAGGAGACAGAGGCAGGCAGAGGGGGCAGCAGAAGCGTGGGCGCAGAGGCAGTGATGTGTCCCAGGGCAGCCTGGATGCGCCGATGGGAGAGATGAGGCAGCACCAGGAGAGGAGGGAGTTCAGCCCAGCTGGGAGAGAGCCGGCTCCGCTGACAACAGGTAGGAACGGTATGACCCACTGGCAGGAGAAGCTCAGGACCAGCCGTTTCCATTACCGTGATGGGAAGCAGGGAACCACCGTCTTCCTTGAGAAGATGACAGCTGTGACAAGCCCGTGGTGCTGACACATTACCCGGCTACTGGTTGCTGTTGGTTTGGGTTTGGTTTGGTTTTGTTTTTCAACCTAAAATGCTGGCTCAATTCCAGGTATAGAGAAGGTAGCCCTCAATGCTACAGAAGACTGAATGTCACTATTGTTGAGTCATCCTGTGAGGTTCTGCAGAAAATCTAGGAGCTCAGACTGAAGCACCACAGAAATATTTTTGGCTTCGGTACTATTTTGCTTCTTTATTTTGAGGAAAACTGTACCCCTGTGTGTTTTTATGCAAATGTTATTTTTCTGTGTAGAGCTTATATTAGCTTATTAACCTGTAATCAAAATTAAAATGGTTTTTGTTTTCCCCCCTCACAGTTTTGCTCATTTGGGAGTCGCCTCATGGGCCGAGGGTACTATGTGTTTGATAGAAGATGGGACCGTTTTCGATTCGCACTAAACTCCATGGTAGAAAAACACTTGAATTCACAGATGTGGAAGTAAGTGAGCGGTTTTTGTGCAATATGAGATCTGAGCTGCTCCACAACTATCTGAACCCCAGCTTTCTAAATGAATGTCACTAGTTGGTTTTTGTTTGTTTGGTTGGTTTTTTGCGGTACGCGGGCCTCTCACTGTTGCGGCCTCTCCCGTTGCGGAGCACAGGCTCCGGACGCGCTGGCTCAGCGGCCACGGCTCACGGGCCCAGCCGCTCCGCGGCATGTGGGATCCTCCCGGACCGGGGCATGAATCCGTGTCCCCTGCATTGGCAGGCGGACTCTCAACCACTGCGCCACCAGGGAAGCCCACTAGTTGGTTTTTTATTGAACAAAATGATTCTGAAATCAGGGTTCGTGATTAATTCTTAAATGTCAGCCCCTCTTCTTGGTTGCCTATATTTTTCAGAGACAATGTGTGGTATGCTTTGTCTTCTTTGGAGATCCCTTTTGTGTTGGTAATCTTCTAAACTAAATGAAAAGGGATTAGATAAGACCTCATTTATTTAACAGTGTTAAAGGGCCTTTTTGCTATGACTAAGACCATCTAAGGATATTAAGAATATGCTTCAGTTTGTAATGTTAATGCTACAGTGTCAATACCAAAAATTTCCTAACGGTTATGGACCAACTTGTAATTGTTTAATGTCCTGTGCAAAAGTATGTACAGCAACCAACAGGGCAGATCAGGGGCCACGTTGCCAAGTTGGTTAAGCTTGTCTTTGGCCCTTCCCACCTCCCTATAGGACTCTCTCCTCACCTCTATGCATACTCCTCTCTACCCTAAACCCAGCTTATGTCCCATTTCTCTATGGTTCTTTTATTCTCCAACACCTCTCGATGTATTTGCATTTTAATAGATTCATGAAAAGGGGAAAAGCCTTCTTGACTTAGGGAAGTGCTATTGTACAGGATGACGGGCTAGACGCTCTCAAACCATAGCATGTAAGGAGCTGCCATTCCGGCCACTTGGTAATGCCAGGCCAACGCCCTGGCTACCTCCAGCCCCCAGCCCTGCAAAGGTGAGCTTTTGAGATCTCATAATCCACAGAATCATGGATTCCTCAGCTCTGAGCCCAGATGGTCCAGGAGAGCCAACACTAAACCCCTCACCCTGCCCAGTGAAGCCCAGGAAAGGCCAGGAAGGCATTCCTGAGAAATAGGGTAGGATGGGAACAGAATTCAAAACCTCCCCTCTCCCAGGCAATGATGGCATCCCAGCGCCTATTCACCACAATGCCCAAAGACCTTCCAGAACTTCTAGAAGTAAGCCCCACCGTGCCTGCAGTAAGCTCTCATAGCGGACTTAGGACGACACATTGACACTTCCTGTGAAGTAGGAAGGGGCCACAAGAGAAGCTTGTCATTTCTTCTCCCTTAAGTGACTGCCCAGTGTGTCTCAAAGGCACCCTGATATCTACCTGTGTCCTTTCTAAACAGCACCCGATGGGCTGCGTGCGGGGTTACTGTGTTCTCGGTATTTGGTGACTTATCCCTCTGTGCGGGTCCCCCAGCATGGCAGCCAGCGCCGGTGACTCTGCAGCTCTGTGCTCTCCTGTGTTGTGGAAGTGTAAATCCCGGGCACGTGGAAGGAATGTGTTGATCTGTATTTCGCTGCCTGGTGTCCTGTCAGCTCAAGTCCATATTCCTTTCCTCCTCAGGCACAGAAACCCGAGCCACAGGGCATCAGGTCCCTCCCCCCTTTTCAGGACTTGTCTAACCAATCTGCTGTCACTGAGCAACATTGGGGCTGCCTGGGTGTCAACTCTGGAGAGCGTAGCACCCCGCTGCCCTCTCAACCTCACTGCCCAAACCCCAGGCCCCGACGGGCCCGAACCTGGAGGGATGGCAGCCGATGGGGGCGTGGAAGACATTAGGAAGAAAAGGAACGGCCAAGACTCTTTTTTCTTTAACAAGCATTTAACTCTGCATCAGGAGACGCCAACACAGTATTCTCTTTCAGCCAGGTCAGCATCTGGATCTCCATGCCAGCTGGCAGGGGAGGATGGGCACTGTAATTTATTCGCATCTGTGGGCTTTTGTATGGGACTTCCCTAGGCCAGCGTGCAAAGCTTCAGCTGGGACACAGCCCGCCAAGCTGAAATCCGCTGCCATTTGGCACCTGGAAGAGCACATTAACTGTCTAGCGTGGGGGGAAGGGGTCCCCGGAGACAGTGAGCTGCCACATGCCCCTCTCCCTGCTTCTCCCCTACCCCTTCTCCCCTCCTGACTCTGCTGTCCATTAAAGATGAGTGGGGAGAGGAAGGAAAGAGGTAGAGAGTATGCAGAAAAAGAGCACCCACCCCAGTGCTGAGTGTCAGCCAGGGCACGCTGAGGACTTCAGCTCTGCCGGTCAGCACAAGCTGAAACCTCAGAGTAGATCCCAGTTAAGGTCATCGATTGGGGTCCTCTCTAAATGAGCCATCTGGTATTTGTAAATAACTTCTTATTACAAGGCACTGCCAAACCTCCGCCCATATGGACTCCTATCCATACTTTAGCTGGTACGAAACTTAAGTGAAGGAGAGACTTGAGTGGGATGCCTAGAGAATCCCAGGAGTCAGTAGCCAGTGGAGACGGTGCGGTGTGCTGACACCACACACTCTGAGAAATGGGCCCTGGTGCTGTTAGGAAGGGGTTGTGCAGTGCCAGACAGTTGTAAGGGCGTGTTTAGACCTTTCCGATCTGATTAATGGGAGTCCTTGCCTGGCATGCATAGTTATGTCGCTGCTGAGAAGTCACCTGCTCACCCATCCACCACCCACCCATCCATCCATTCATTCAGTCATTCATTCATTGCAACAAGTACTACTAATGGAGCCCCAGTTTAGCGTTGACAGGGATCTTTTACCCTCTTTAGGCTCGAGAGAAAATAGATTTTCAAACACCGTCACAGCCACAGTGGGTTGGCAGTGTTTTTCTCCTATATTTGATCTTCTGAGTCTGATGTTTTCAAGGACACTGCGCTTATATATTCAAGGCTTCCTCTGGATTCCACCATAGAGGTGGAAGCCATGGGCTTCAGCAAACTGCAGGCAGAAAACTGCATCCTCAAAGAGAGCAGGGCTAGGAGAGGCATTTCCTCCTCAGCGGGGCCTCTTCCCAGCGCTGCCTGCCTCACCCCGATGCTGCGGCTGGGAGGGGGGCCTCCAAGGAGAAAAGGGAGGCCCCATTTCACACCTGCCCGCCTTCAAGAGCTGTTTTCGAAGCTCTTGAACGAAGCAGAGCTCGTTCCTAATTTCTGGGGAGCCCAGCTACACGGAACATGATTTCCAGCAGAAACAGGGAGTGGGGAGCAAGGTGAGAAACAGGAAAGAACCAGTTTGAAAATATTCACCTGTCTCCTGAGGTCAGTATCCTTTCCTGAAAAGTCAGGGACATGGTGACCCGGAGGCCCCTGTGCCCCTCTCAGTCCCCAGAGTAGCAGCAACATGGCCCCAAGCCATGGTTTGGAAGTAGAAGCTGTTTCCAGCACACGTCAAAAGACGGAGTTTGCGGGGAGGCCTCCAGAGTAACCCACCACCTGGGGCTGGCCTGGGCTCCACGGAGCGTGAGGCAGGGACCTTGCTCCCAGGTGCCCCCAGCTTTCAGGAAGACCTCCGCCCCATTCAGATGCTCTCCTGCACTTATCTTCCGAGCAAGCTAGAAATTCCTGATCCCCTTCTCTGAATCCATGAGGGTCCCTGTACCCTTCCCCCTTCCTAACAGAGGGACAGGAAGACCTGCTGAAGGGCAGCCATACCCCAAAGATAGCTCCTGAGTGATCGCTGAGGCAGGGTGAGGTGAAGGGGAAAAAAAACAGAGCCAACAGCCGGGAGCTGACGTGGAAGTGCCTCTCTACAGGGTAACCCAGAGGCTGCAGGCAGCGAGGGCAGGGGACTCTGGCCTGTGAGGAGAGAGGTGACTCCCAGATCTCCTCCCGTCAAGAGCAGGGTGGAGAGGCAGGGCACAGGAGGGGTGGGAGGCCCTGAGGGGCAGGGGCTGCAGGGGCACAGGGGACGCTCTGGCCCACGTGTTCAGGTGGCCAAGCCCCGTCCTCACGCCTTTTACTTCAAGCCAGGACCTGAGTGTGAAATGACCCCTTCTCGTTAAAAATTACCTTTGTCACTGCCAGGGGAGAAAACAACAGAGGGGGATACTGCTGGGGAAGTTTCTATTCTAAATAACATTCGCCTTTTATTCATGAACCCAAATCAGCCATTATCCAGTAGCCAAGCATGGAGAAAAGGATCTGAAAACCTGAAAGTGATTAAAACTAGGTTGCTGGATGTTGCAATGGGGGGAACTATAGGGAAGGGCCATAATTCAGATTTTGCCATCCTTCAAGGCTTCATTTTCCATTGTCTGGTTCCGCCAGGGATTTCTCTGTAGCCCTGATGCTCACACTTAGTCGAGCTTCTGGAGCAATGCCAAACCTATTTCTCACTGTTTATCTTTCACTCTTCTCTCATGTTTAGGAAGATCCCTCCTGCGGCAGATAGCCCCATGCCCTCGCCAGCAGCCCACATCACCACCCCTGTTCCAGCATCCGTTTTACAGCCTTTCAGCAACCCCAGTGCTGTGTATCTTCCTTCAGCTCCCATCAGCTCGAGACTCACCTCTTCTTACATAATGACATCAGCCATGCTCTCCAATGCAGCTTTTGTGACATCGCCGGACCCGAGCGCCCTCATGTCACACACCACAGCTTTCCCTCATGTGGCCGCAACCCTCAGCATCATGGACTCAACCTTCAAGGCCCCATCCGCCGTGTCCCCGATACCAGCTGTCATTCCTTCCCCATCCCACAAGCCATCCAAAACCAAAACCAGCAAATCCTCAAAAGTCAAAGACCTGTCCGCCCGTAGTGACGAGTCTCCAAGTAACAAAAAGAGGAAGCCGCCGTCTTCGACTTCCGCCTCTCCCTCCGTATCCCTGCAGACATCCCTCTCCCCATTATCAGGGCCCCACAAAAAGAACTGTGTTTTGAATGCCAGTTCAGCTTTGAACTCCTATCAGGCAGCCCCTCCCTATAACAGTCTGTCTGTGCACAACTCAAACAATGGGGTGAGCCCACTCAGTGCCAAACTGGAGCCCTCAGGACGGACCTCGCTGCCCGGCGGCCCTACAGACCTAGTGAGACACATGGGCTCGGGGGGCGGCAGCAGTGACTCCTGTCCCCTCTCTGTGCCCTCCCTTGCAGGGGACCTCTCTCTGGCCTCACACAATGCCGTGTCTTCTCTGCCCCTCTCTTTTGACAAATCAGAAGGAAAAAAGCGTAAGAACTCAAGTTCTAGTAGCAAAGCCTGTAAAATCACTAAAATGCCTGGAATGAATAGCGTTCACAGAAAGAACCCACCCAGCCTTCTTGCACCGGTGCCCGATCCCGTTAACAGCACCTCCTCTCGGCAGGTAAGGGACCCGTCCTTCCAGGAGCCTTCTGGCACCGCCCGGGGATGGTGGGAGGGGGAGCAGGGCAGCGCCCCCCGCTTAGCTATGTGGCCCAGGCAGGTGGCCCAGACAGGTAACGCAAGCATGAGTCCCATCCTCATTCTCCCCGTGGGCAATTCCACCCTCTGCTCTGAGAGCAATTTATCTAACAGATACTTTCTACAGTGTCCGCGCACTAGGCACTGTTCTGAGTCCTATATGAGCATCACCTCATTTAATCCTCACAACAACCCAGCAAGGTTGATGCAATTGTAATCACCACTTTACAGATGAGCAAACTGAGGCACAGAGAGGTTCTGAGTTCCATCGCCTCACTCTGTTGTATATCTGGAGTTCTGAGGACGATATCATTGAAGAGGTCTATTGCCAAGCAGTTTTATCTGATCTATTGGCATCCCCTTAGGAAGAACCTGAGGCCCAGCCAGGTTAAATGGTGACCTGGGTCCCACCGGGGGGTGGGAGCGCATGCTTCCGGTGACTATTCTTCTCACATTACCAGGCTCCCTACTCCTAAGATAACCCTTTCCTTCCTAAAGTATCACTGCAGCTCACACCAACTGGTACAGAAGTGTTCAAGGCCACTGTACACAGAGGAGGGTGTACCGTGAGGGGAGCTGGGGGAATGGGACATGATCCAAGAAGAACACGTGTTTCTTTCCCTTGAGCCCTGTTCTCATCCTCAAGTCTAGTCTTCCTCTCGAGCTGGGAAGGCTGCTTAGGAAACCCTCCCACCCGACTGTTTGTGTGTAGAGGAGGGAGCAAAGGCGGGTAGGGGGCAGCCTGGGGTCTCTTCGAGCTGAGTCCAGTGGGAGGGACCTCCCAGGACAGCGTGCAGGGATGGTAGCAGCAGCCCCAGGCCGACAGCCACAGAATTCAGTGGGCCAGCCCTGTCTGGGGATGGGGACTTTGGAGACATGAGAGGCAGTTGTTTAAAAGATGTTTTCATGTTTTGCATCATCTTTGTGTGAGACTTGTTAAAACTTCATGAAGAGAACCTCTTGAGGGGGATTCACAAAACACAGGTAAACACACAAGAAACAGCAAGTTTGGATCTCAAGGGCCAGACAAGCTGCAACCGAGGCCAAGGTTGTGGCAGTGGGGGATGGACATAGGTCCTCTCATCAGAGCCCAGGTACTCGCACACATCTGCAGTTCCAGGGGTGCAGAGGAGGGGACCAGCACCCACAGGGTCCCCCAGAGACTAAACTACTGGTCGGTGCCACCTCCAGGTCTCAGGATGGAGGGCAGATCCAGGGCTTCCTAAACTTGAATGTGCACATGAATCACTGGAGGGTCTCAGTAAAATACACATTCTGAGTCAGCAGGTCTGGGGTGGAGCCTGAGAGTCTGCATTTCTAACAGGCTCCAGGCAGTGCCACGGCACTGGTTTGCGGGCCACACCCTGAGCAGCAAGGCTATAGTGTCATCTGTTTTCGATGAAGTTCTAGCAGCTAACACTTACTTATGGGATGGGCTCTGTTCCAAGCACTTGATATATTCATTTAATCTTCACCTGTTATTACCCCCATTTTACAGATGAGTAAACCGAGGCACAGGAAGGCTAAGCAATGTGCCCAAAGTCACACAGCGAGTAAATAATAGGTCTGGGATTTACACCCAAGTAATTTGGCTCTGGGGTCTGGGCTTTTCACCTCTGTGCCTCTGTATTGAGTAAATGTGCCACTGTTGATTCTTTGGTGTGCCAAGACCATATGAAATGTTTAGTAACCATGATGAATTAGTCAAAAACTGTGATGAAAGGAGCAGACAAGCCTCCTTCAGAGAGTGCTCATCAGGAGGGAAATCCAAAAGAGCTGATGAATTTAATGGCTGCCTTGGATCTGGTCAATACTGGTTCTCTAATGCAGCTGATACCTGGGTGCTTGTCACCAGGCCATTAAGAAAAGGCTTTGTCCAGGGTCACCAGGTGTTGGGGGGAAGGCCTTTGGAATCTGTGCTGATTCTGTTAGGAGATTGGGAGAGGCATGGCATGAGATTGAGAAATTCAAGGTAAACGTGCTTTGAGGACTAACTGGGGATCTATTGAATTTTATCGGGTGGTGTAGGGCCAGAATTTGCCACAGAGATATTAAACCGTACGAAAAACGAGACTGCGAACGTAAGGCAGACGTCTTTACGCGAAGGCGAGTTTAAGTAGAGGATGGGCTCGTCATAGGAGCTGCCTGCGTAACGTACTCCGCCTCCGTAACGTACTCCGCCTCCGTAACGTACTCCAGCCCACCGCGAGCCCAGGTTCGATCACGAGAAAGGGGAGGAGCCTGACGGCCACGCCCCCTCGCCCCCAGGGCTGCGTCACAGGACCGGGCTGCGTCACAGGACAGGCCCGCTCAGGCTCCCACTGGAAGGGGAAGACTCATGCCTCTTGCCATTTTCCTTAAGAACAGCAAGGAGTGTGCCGGGAAAACTGACTCAGAAAAAGACGCAGGCATTTATTCCCAGCTGGTCCAGGGGAGTCTGGGCTCGAGACGAGATGGGTCTGGGACTGCCGTCACAGGTGGAAAAGCTGGGCCTCCTCCCGGAAACTTGCAGTCTGCGCATCTGGGAAGCGGATTAAGATTTCCCCTCCATTCCACGTTCCCTGTGGGATGAGGGGGGCGTCATCAAGGCCCCCCTGAAACATACTCATTTTCTCTGCCGTTTAAGATGGAAACACGAGTTCCACACGACGGGAGGAGAGCCCTCGAGGTACCGTGCAGCCTCCCCCTTTCCCCTGGCGACTCTTGGTATCGGTGGGTCTCTCCCAAGCTGGCTCCCGTGTCTGAGTAGGGCTTCACTGGTGTCTTTCAGGTTGGGAAAAATAGCAGCCTAGCTTTGTCACAATCCAGTCCTTCAAGCATATCCAGCCCAGGACACAGCCGACAGGTAAGTTACTGGCGGGCAGAAGTCCATAGGCTCATCAGCAGGGTGGAAAGAATGTGGGCTTTGGGGTCAGACCCTGGTTCAAACCTCACGTCCAGTTAAGAAAATGGCTACCTGGCTTCTAACGCTAGGCCTTCTTGTAATTAGCTGTGTGCCCTTGGGCAAGTTACTTAATTTCTCTGTGCTTTACTTTCCTCGCCTATAAGATGGGGGTCATTATGGCCCCTATCTCATAAGGCTTTTGTGAGGATTAAATTAATTTATAGACATAAAGCCCCTGCAAAATGCCTGAGACCTAACACAGGTATTAGCTTTTACTGTTAGCAGCTGTATGGTATTAGGCAGATTACTTCTCTGAGTCTCACTTTTTTCATTTCTTAAATGGCAGAATCGATGCCTACCTCTTAAGGTTATTATGAAAATTAAATAAGATGCTGTTGACTAAAGGGCTTTGCTCATGGCAGACATTGGTCAGCACTTTCTTGAGGCCTCTGGTGGGCTGTAGCTACCATTCAGGATGTGGTTTTCATGGTGGGACTATTCAGGGTAGATTTAGGAGTTTTTATAAACTTGAGGTGTGAAAACAGTCAGTATAGAGGTGATTTTCTCCAGTGGAGTGTGTGCACGTCTGGAGGAGGACAGGGAGGGTAGGTGAGTAGGGTCGTGTGTGTTCTACATGATGGGAAAAGAATACATATATGGCTGTTATGTTGTCTTAGAAGTGCCACAGGTTTCGTAGATACCAAATTACAGTGTTTGGGTGAAGGTTATAGGGAACGGTTTTGTATCCTCAGATCTCCACCACTTTGAATCACTGTGGACCATCTGTGCCAGAGCACCTGCAGCCCCTCCTTTGTGTAGGGTCAGGGAGGGAGGGCAATCTGCCTGTTTACGGCAGGCCTTCTGCACGGTTGCTGGGTGCACCTGGAGTCGCCCACAACTCCAGGCATACCTGCTGGGAACCCACAACGCTAGCCGTCAGCCTAAATGAACGTAACAGTAATACCAGCACCTGCCATTTGTTGAGCCCTTCCTCTGTAGGCGCCGTGCTCTGCCCCTCACATACATTACATACCTTTCAACCTTTTAACAACCTGGTCAGGTTGGGGACAAATTGGTTATCCTCGTTTTATGGATGAAGATGAAGGAACTTGAACCAAAACCTGTATATCCAAAGCCTCTGTGCTTAACCCAGCACTATACTTTTTCCTTAGGTAATTCTCCATGCTGTCTGTGAGTTAGTTAGGAAAACATAGACTAAAAAACAAAAACAGAAAAACAAAGACAGATTAATTATCCCGGCCGTCCCTCCTGGAGAGGAGCTCCATGAAGCCACAGGATTTGCCCCCTTGCTTTCCTTCACAGCTAGGATCTCTGTGCCTACCTTCCATTTACAGAGTTCTTTACTTCCATCACCTCATTTGCTCATCACAGCTGGCTTTTGCCAAATGCAGGAGGTGGGATGGTATCCTTTTCGTTATAGATGAGGAAACTGAGACTCCCTTCTTGAATTCTTGTGGGTAATCCCAAATGTATGTTTTGGAAACAAGCTTTTTCTTTTCTTTTCTTTTCTTTCCTAGAAGACCACAAACAGAACGGGCAGGATAAGGACTCTTCCATAACAAGACTATGAAGCCACTTCCAAACCAATGCCTGGCCACGGGACCTCACCCCAGGAGGCCAAGGCCAGGGGAGGGAGGGGAGTGGGCAGTGGGGAAGAGTCTGTTTCCTGTGCCCTGCCTGTGGCTCTGGCCTTTCTTCTTCTTTTTTTAATTGACCAATTTTTAGTTTTGAGGAAAAAGAAAAAGGCAAAAAGAACGTGAATTTGAGATTTACAGAAAACAATACCAGTGTTTTGTTTCCGTTCTTTAACTTGCCACGTGTATACCTTCTTCCAAGTTTGGGGTCCCTCCTCTAGCTTCTGATGCTGCTACTGCATCATTTTGCTCCGGCCACAAGAGCAGACATTGTAGAATGTCCGTTCCTGGTTGGCATCGTCTGGAACTCTTGAACTTGAGCATGTGCAGTGCTCCTTTCCTTACGCTCTCCCATCCTTCCCTTCTGTCCCCTCCTACCTGCCACTCTCTGGGTCCCCACTGACCATCAGAGGTATGGGCTGTCAAAAGCTCCCTCTAGACAGCGTGCTGCATCGGGGGGCGGTTACTGGGGAGCAGCCCATGTTTGGGGAGCAGAGAGCTGGAGGGTGGGCGAGTGCCCTCATTAGGTTTCTAGGACGCACCAGCACAGAGGAGGGAGATGCGAAGTTGAGAACAGCAGCCATTTAATGATGGGGCTTACTTAGTACCACTGTCCAGCTGTGCAGCTCGGAGAAGATGTCCTGGGTTAGGGACAGGAGCAGGAATGGACCTGGGAGGTGGCAGGAAGAAGGGCCTGGGGGTAGGAGAAGATATCCTCAAAAGATGGTGGGAACTGGGTGACTGATCATCTGAGCGTGTTAGGAATCCATGCTGCAAAATCCCTTCCAGGGCACCATGTACGAGGGCGCAAAGCTGGGCGAGTCACAGGGGGAGGAATCCCAGGGAAAAGGGCACAAGACCTCAGGAAGCCACTCAGGAAGAGGCACAGTGCCCACCGCTGTGGAAGGTCTCAAGCTGCCCTCCGGGGCGCTGCCAGAGGAGAAAAAGCAGAGCCGGAAGGAAAGGCCTGAGGGAAAGCTGCCATGGAGGGTTAATTGCCAAACAGCTGGTGATTGGTGAGAATAATTACTAGCATTGCCCAGCCACCTCCATGCCCTGGGCCAGAGGGCCCCGTGGACTCAGCACGCCCATAGATCAGCTCATGCTAGGTTGTCAGAGGCCACCACTCCGATACAGCCAACCCAGGAAGGAGTGGTAAGACCACTGCTTATGGAGAAGAGCCATTTGGAAGATCCGGAAGGGAGAAGCTGGAGGCCTGCAGCTATAAAACTGTTCACACTGGAGTTTTGAAAGAAACCAATACCATAAGCTCTAATTGGGAATCATAGTCAAGAAAGGAATTCACCATATAAAAAAGTGTTCTGTGCTATGAATCATGTAACTTTGTATACAGTGTAATGGCAGAGACACCAGGAGGTTTCGCTCCATCCCTAAGTCAGAAACGAATGCCAGTTTTGCAGCTGGACATAAACCCTCATCCCCACCCTGAAGTTTTCCTTTTCTTTCCCATTCCCCCCAAACCCAAGGATCAGACTACTGTTAAATTTCACCGTATGATTGGATTTTGCGAAGACGGGAGGCAAACGGAGTGATTTGCATCAATGGAATTGCACTGACAGTGTTTCTTAATAGGATTACTAAAATTTTTAATATAAAATGAAGATTTTTTTAAAAATCAGGAGTTGATATTAGGTACTAGGACATTAGTTCGGATGATTTCATTTTTATTTCTACAGTGTTAAAAGTGCACTTATATGCTGGTTTATTTCCATCTTGGGAAAAAGAGACTGCAAATTGAAGGGAAGATTGTCACTTTTTCTTTTTTTTAAAAAAAAAAAGGTTAAGGCAGATTTTAAGACTTACAAATGTTTAAGAAATTATAAACAAGGTTAGACCCTTCGAAAAAAAAGTTTAGAAGATAAAGTAAATTTTTATAGTGTTAATTTTGTAATAATTTATGTTTTACTATATTACAGAGCTAACTGACCAGAATAGTTTCAGAAACAATATGAAACTTAGGAAAGTTGAAGCAACGTTTATATTTTTAAAATGTTCTTTGAATTATGTTTTTATTGTACATTTCTTCAGACTGAAAAGTATGTACATATCTTTGTTATTTTTGCACAATTTTCGTCTTGTTCGGTTTTAGAAGTCTGGTTTTTTTTATAATTTATTTTGAGTTGTAATACTTGCAGGAGTAAAAACAAAAAAAATCTCAGCAACAAAATAACCCTCTGATTTATAAACTCTTACACTCAAAGAAGGAAAACAAAAGTTGAGAGATTAAGTGGCTGCTTCTGAGAAATAATGTCTCAACAGGGACTAAAGGAGCAATTCAATGGATTTTAAACGTTTTAGCTCTCTACATCTTGAATTGCAAGCTGGAATAAAGAGGCTCCCCACTGGATGCTGCTTACTTGGTGAAAGACTGGCTCTGACCAAGGTGAGGACATTTCTGGAAAACTGAGCAAAAAGGGAAAACCCACGGTGTTTCTTCCTTCACAGTCAACTACAGGTTTACTTTATAATGATGTATTCAGAACTCACAGCTTGAAATATGGAATGCAAATAAAAGGTTTTCTTTCGGTTTGTTTGAATGGAGTTCCACTGGACCAGCCTATAAAGCATTATTAGGGGGATATCGTTTGGGTACTTCTGCACACCCCACCTAGCCCTCTCTCCCAGCCCCTTGACTGCACACACCCCCATCTGCCTGAAGATCTCGTGACTTGTCGCCAGCCATAGAGGCTCGAAAGCTCTGGTTGTTAAAGCGTAACGCAATGCATAGACCTGTCAGCCATAAAAAAAAAAAAAAAAAAAAAAAGCGACCTGGATAACTTGTATGCCTTCTTTTGTATCAATGTACCAATTGTAAATAATGCTGATCAACCTTTGTAGAGAATAGTTTATACAGCATATTCTATTATTGCTGATTCTCAGTGAACTCTTGTTTTAAAAAAGGAAAAAAAGAAATTTTCTATTTACACCTTCTATTTTGTTATGCTGTCGGCCCATGGCACTTTAACAAAACTCTGTGGGTTTTACGTAGCTGGTCAGTCATGGGGTATATTCAATAACTGTTGTTGCACAGACGAGAATTTGCACCTGCTCATTTGTCCTTTCCTACTACCGATTTTAGAACCTTTTCCAGAAGAATTTTGAAGAAAGCATGTCCAAACATTCTAAACAAATGCCACACTTGTGGAGTGGGTTTCTTTTCTACAATCCATATTTTGTAACACTAAGTATTTTCCTTCTTTGTCCTGCACCTTTATGTATTAGCACTATCAGATAGAATTCATTCCATGCCTGTGATATTGTAAGCAGAATAAATGTCTAAAGTAGGTGTAAATAGTAAATCCTATGGCTTACAGTTTTAAAAAGGAAAGAACAAACATGTATCTATTGATACTGCCGTGGTTCAGCACAAGGTCTGGAGACATTCTCCAGTGAGCGATTGTATTTTTTTTTTTTCTTTTTTTTTTTTTTTTTTTGGTAACATGGCTTTGTAAATAAAATAATTTATATGTTTGTAAAAACAGTCTTCGGGTTTTTATAAAATTTAGATTGGGGGTATTGTTTTTTATTCTTTTGGGTGTATGTGTCCTCACCAGATGAGCGTTCCTCCTAGAACCCACATTTAAGGTGTAGAAGAGAGCGAATTCATTCAACAGATATTTATGGAGCATCCCATCTGTGGCTGCCCCTGAGCTAGGCACTCTGCTCAGTGATGAGAAACATAGTCCCAGCTGCTTGCCAAAGGCGCCCTGGTGGGGGAGACAGTACATGAATAAACACACGATCCAATGTGTGATTACAGATTGTGACAAATTCAATGGTAGAAAGAATTGAGTTCTGTGAGAGAAAATAACAGGAGAAAGTGATGTAAAATGGGTTGGGGGTTGTGATCAGGGAGCTCCCTCTGAGGAAGTAAGCTGAAGGCAGAAAGTGTTGGGGAGATAATCCCAGGCAGAGGTGGCCCATGGTGGGAAAAGCCTGCTAAGTTCTTGGAACCTAAGGAATATGCACTGTGGACAGAGCAGGGAAAGGGATGGACAGAAGGCATGGCAAGGTCACAGAAGGACTCCTATCTAGAGTGGATTTTTGTGCTCAATTCAGTGGGAGTCCTTCAAAGGGCTTTACATAGGGCATGGCGTGATGTGATCTGTTGAAAGATCTCTAGCTGCTGTGTGGAGAATCCATCGGAAGTTGTTGCAAGAGACCCAGTGAGACATAGTGTTCGTGTGGTCCCAGGATGGTGACAGTAGATCTGAAAAGAAGTGAGTGGAGTCAAGATCCATTTTACATATTAAATTGACAAGACTGGTTTAGGAATTGGATGTGAGAGTAGGAGAAAGAATGACTCCCAGGTTTCTGCTAGAGCAGTTGTATTAGGTGGAGATGCCATTTCTTCAGATGTGGAAAACCAGAGGAAGAACAGGCTTTGGGGAAGGGGGGGTGGCAAAAGGAATGTTTCATGAAGATCAGAAGTTCTGTTTTGCACATGTATGTTTGCTCACGTGTGAGATCACTGTGAAATCTCTAAGCTGCTGTGTCAAGAAGGCATGGGCTACACATGACTGGAGCTCACAGGTCTAAGTTGAAGGCATCAACTTGGGAATCTTTGTTATATGGATGATATTTAGAGCCACAGGTATGGATGTGATTACTAGAGAAGATGGAGAAGACGAGCAGACATTTGGAGGTTAGGCAGAAGCAGAAAAGCTTGCAAAGAACTCCAAGAGGAAGCGTTCACAAAGAGAAGAGAACCCGATAGACAGTGCTTCCCTGGAAGCGAGGACTGTAAGATGCTTCAAGCAAGGAGAAGTCAGCTGAGTTAAGTACTGTTGCAGTATGGGAGAGAGATGGTATTTAGTCTGGGGTTCTGCAGCATGGAGGTCTTTCGTGACTGTTAACAATCTCCGAGGGCTGTCATAACAAATTGCCACAACCTGGTGGCTTAAAACAACGTAAATTCATTCTCTCAGGGTTCTGGTGCCTAGAAGTTCAAAATCAAGCAGGGCTGCACTTGCTCAAAGGCTGTGGAGGAGAATCCTTCCCTGCCTCTTCCGGTTTCTGGTGATGGCTCGTATCCCTTGGCTTGAAGACTCATCACTCCCATCTCTGCCACCTCCTTCACGTGGCCTTCTCTCCTGTTTCTCCTGCGTTTCAGGCCTCCCACGGCCTTTCTCTTATAAGGACTTAAGGCTCACCCTAAATCCTGGATTATATCCTCTCAGGATACTTAAGGTAGTTACGTCTTTTTGCAAATAATGCATACTCGCAGGTTCTAAGGGTTATGACTTGGACACAGAGTGACCTTATCGAAGCAGGTGTGTTGAAGTGGCAGGAGAGTGAAGGAAATTCAGTTGTGTAGACAAGTCTTAAGAAGGTTAGAAGGCACAATGGAGTGTTTGGATTTTGTTCCCTTTTGTTTCTTTTGTTTTTCAAGGGAGAAGGGTCCAGATCACGATTCATATGCTGGTGAGGGTGGGACAATAGGGGAGGGAGAGGTTGATGAGACAGGAGAAAGGGGTGATTTTTTTTTTTTTAAAGGGAAGTTTTTGAGAAGGCAGGAGGGAGGTGAACTTGAACACGTGTGGAAGTATTGGCCTTTGTAGTGCAGAACAATCAACCGAGGCCTATTAAAAATTTTAAGAGTTTATCTGCACAAAAATGGGATTCAAATCAGGCAGCCCCAAACCAGAAGTGGTTAGGAACTCCACCAACAGGAGCTGGGGTGAGACTTCTATAGAGAAAAGGTGGAAGCAAAGTAAGGTAGGTATTGATTGCCTATAGCTTAAAGCCTAGTTGGCTGTTTGTGATTGATTGTCCCCAGCATTTTGGATTTTGTAACCTTGAGACATTTACAGACTTAGATTCTGGTTTGCTTACATAGGCCTCTAGAGCATTAGAGCATCTCAGTCTAATGGCCTCTTTGTTTGACTGACTTAACAGTAGTCAGAAGGACACTTCCTCCAGGGAAATGGGGAAGAAAGAAGTCAGCTTGTAGATTCACTGCTGAGAAGATGAGGGAATCCCCCATCTGATGGCTTCCATTTTCTCAGCGACCATGGGGCAAGCTGGGTGTGCCTGAGAGCTCAGAAGAAGTTTGAGAAGAGTAAAGAAAGAATTTAGTACTTACTAATGAAACTGGATTGCCGCACAGCATTGAGAGCACATTTGAGATTTGTGATCAAAGCACAGTCCTGGCATGGTGATGACAGCCTTGGGGAGTGGTTTGAGCACACCAAGGGTAGAGCAAGGCCACTTGGAGCCAACACTCTTGGGCAAACTTCGGCAAATTTCTTAGCGTTTTGCCTCAGGCCTAACTGTAAATATTTTCACTATTGTACAGGGAAAAAAAAAAAAAAAAACCAGACGAAGCAGCTTTGAAGCTTGAGGAAGCTTCACAGAGGAAGCACATTGCACATAAACCTTTGTATAATTGGATTATCCATAGCCACAAAACATCAGTGTGGCACTTCTAGCAGCAAGGACATCATGTATCCCTTGGCTCTGAGCTTTGTCTGAGACTGGCCGTCCATCACTGTTCTGCCCTGGTGACTTCTAACTCCATTTTTTTTTTTTTTTTTTTTTTGTGCGGTACGTGGGCCTCTCACTGCTGTGGCCTCTCCCGTTGCGGAGCACAGGCTCTGGATGTGCAGGCTCAGTGGCCATGGCTCACGGGCCCAGCCGCTCCGCGGCATGTAGGATCTTCCCGGACCGGGGCACGAACCCGTGTCCCCTGCATCGGCAGGCGGACTCTCAACCACTGCGCCACCAGGGAAGCCCTCTAACTCCATTTTGAAGGGAGCCTAGACATCCTATATTTTCCCAACCTGGAACTCTGAGAAGCCTCAAAATTAGCCATAGGCTTGGAGAATCAGTGTGAAAACTGGAAGTAATAATGAAGACCCTCTTCTGCAGGTGAGGAAACTGAGACACAGACAGGTCGAATGAGGTACCAAGAGCACACAGCTGGCTGACTGGCAAACCTGTCCCCCCTTCAATCTGGTGCCCTGTCCATTCTATTTCCCTGCCTCCTGTAGAAATAAACTGCACCTACCGACTTTTCTTCCTAAGCCCCTGTGGATATTTCCAGAAAGGTATTTTATAATTCTATGTGCCTCCTAGCTGGTTGACTCAGGTCTCTAGAATTTAATTTTACAATACTTCAGTATTTTTCTCCTTTTGATTTTTCCACTAGGCAATAACTTCTTGCTTTCTGATCTGGTTGGAGCTATTCTGGAATGTCAGGTTTAAGGTATCCATGTCACTGAGCAAAGTTCCCAGGAGTGTATTTCAATAAGTTTATTTTCTGTTCATTACATCTTCATAAGCCATTCAACTAGAAAAGTAAATGAGGAAGGTGTAAGAAAACTGAACGCCTCAAACACTCAATCAGTCCCACGCAAGTCTGAATCATTGCAGAATCACAATGGGAGCCAACAGCTCGGAGGCGCTGTATTTATTGTGACAATTGAAATCACAAATCTGATCTAAGGTCATTAACATTGGAAGGGTTCTCTTAATTTTAGAAGATTCTGGAGCTTTTCTGGATTCCTCCTTTCGCCTTTAAGTATTTCAGTAAATTTTTTTTTTTTTTTTTTTTTTTTGCGGTACGCGGGCCTCTCACTCTTGTGGCCTCTCCCGTCGCGGAGCACAGGCTCCGGACGCGCAGGCTCAGCGGCCGTGGCTCACGGGCCCAGCCGCTCCGGGGCACATGGCATCTTCCCGGACCGGGGCATGAACCCGTGTCCCCTGCATCGGCAGTCGGACTGTCAACCACTGCGCCACCAGTGAAGCCCCTTCAGTAAATTT